TTCCCCCCAAAAAAGTGCCTGTGGGGGTTTCCAGTGCGTTCCTGATTCCCAAGAGGCAGGATCCCACTCCTATATAATAAGGCACCGTTGTCCTATCCTTGTGTGTTGTAAGTGGGGGCCTCAAAAGGACTAGCCTGAGCTCAAATTCACCCACATAGTGGGTGTGTGGTATTTATTGTCATCATTTCACGTTGTCTGCCCCAGACCTTGACATTTCTCAGGAGCCCACCTGTGGCTGGGGCAGCTGCTGCCCTGCAAGGCAAAGCGGGTGCCCTGATCCACGCTGCTCTGGCTCACACTGGCCTCTCTCCACAGCTCGGTCTGCCAGTGCCCTTCATCTAAAACCCAGCTAATCAGAGCCTGCAACTGCCCTTCATTCATGCCTGAGGTTCACTGGTGGGGAGAATGGAAAGGAGATAGGATAATTTTCTTTAATGTCCCAAGAGGGAGGAGAGCTATTTCAGCACAAAGCCCGAGGACAAATGGGCTATGAATAAACCACGTCTGGAAACTAGGAAGCTCCTAATCACTAGGGGAAGGAGCCAAGGGGATAACAGCCCTGTGAGTTTTAAGAGGACATTGACCAGTTTATGACAGAGATTGGGTAAACTGGTCCAAGGTCTGGAGACTAAAGATGTCCTGTTGAGGTCTCTGTCCTTAATAACAGGGACCCAGGCAAGGAATCGGTGGTGGCCTAGGAAAGAACTGACTTAGCCAGGTCCAAGTCCTCCTTTCTTTATTTCCTTCGCACTCTGGGATTTACCTAGATAGAAAACCTTGCCCGAGGAAATGGAGCGAGCAGCAGCACTGCAGATCCGAGGCTGTCCCCCCCTGTCGCGGCGCCCTGGGACAGGCAGCGCGGGCTCTGCTGATGGGGCTCATTCCTGCGCGCTTGCTGGCACGGGCTAGCTGCAGTACATGATACCTCCTCTTTCTGGGAACTCGGTCCTGCCCTGGCAGCAGCCAGCTAGCAGATCCCTGACACCAGGCAACGTCCCAGGGAGGGGAAGGGGCTGCGCATTGAGCACGCTTCCCTCCTGCAGCACCCACTGGAAGGAGCTGTTTGGTGCCCTGCCTATGCCTGATGAACCCAGCCCTCACTTTCAGAGCAGCCTCTCTGACAACAAGGCAGTCACCTGCCTCACTTTAGTGGCAGACAGCCCCCAAATTGCCCCTCCTGTCTCTGTTTTGCCACAGGGGGCTTGGTGGGGTGGCCCCGGAGTGCTGATCCAGGCCCACCAGCAGGAGAGCCGGGGTCAGCACATGCACGCCCGCACACTCAGGGCTGTCCTCGGCGTGCAAAGCTGCCCGGCCGAGTCGGCAAAGCACCTGTGAAGCGGTGCCAGCAGCGCTGGCTGGCAGCAGAGGCAGGTGGCCCCTGCCCTGTGGGCGCTTGGTGCCGCCGGCATCGTCCCCGGGTATCTCGGGGGGCTGCGCTGCGGCCTACAGCCGGCTAAAATTAGGGATGCCCGGGTGCGGATAAAAATACAGCCCTCGCTATGTGAAACCTTCAGGGAGGCGGCCAAAGAGCACATCATATGCCTGGCCGGGCTGAGTGGCCGCGTGGCAATTAAAGGCCTGGGGCAGCGTTCTTGGAGCGCTACCTGCGAAGGCCACCTCCCGTGCAGGGCCTCCGCAGGAGTGACCTTTGGGTGATCCATATTTGGGGACTTGCCTTTTAGTCGGAGAAGCAGCGACCCCCTGAGAGGGATGGTTTGGCAACAAACAGCCTCCACAGGCTGCCCTGGTGGTGGAAAAGGGCAGGAAGGTGGCACACGCTCGCTCTCTCCCAGCCCTGCTGCCATCTCCTACAGCAGCAATTGCTCAGGAGTCTTCTGCCCCTTCTCTTTGACCACCACGATGCTCCGGGACCTGTCATTCACCAGCCTGAACTCTGTAGGGACCTGAAGTTTTGCTGCTGAGGGATGCAGGGTGATGCTGCAGGGAACAACACAGCATTAGGAAGGAGGGAGATCCCTCTGCTTTCTTTCAGAGTGCCCACTGGCTTGCACAACTGGGAAGCCAACCATAACATGAAGGTGTGAGTCCTGCATAAGGCGTCCAAGCCACTGCGGACATACCCTAGATTCTTGCCATCTCCTCCTGTTTCTGAGAACAGAAGTATTACTGTTTTGAGATATAAAGTCATCAGCAGCCTCAGCACCAGCATCTTCACATCAACCAGGTCCTTCATATCAACATAAACTGCAGCCTTAAAGAGAACAGGGGAGAAAGAGCAGAAAGTGGAAAGGAGGATACATTGCTTGAGGGACCTTCCTTCATCATCTCCTGTTCCTCTCCTCCTTGCATTGCTGAAATTTAGCTCTTCCACCACTGCCAGCTTGGGAAACAGAAATCTCCCAGTGCTTAGGAGAAGCTTACTCCCAACAGCTCTCATAGATACCCAGACATCTGTGTGCCTGGGCTGCTGGGGAAGGTTAGCCTTGCTTCTTGTGGGAGCACCAGACGTGCTTTTAAAGATAGAATGAAAATCCATGCCAGAAAGACATAATGTCATTCCACAATGTGGTGGCACTTCTGCTGCTCTGTAGCCAAAAATTTCAGAAGGACCCTGTGAGTCTAATTAAATCTCCTGAAAGCTTCCCATCACCATACACCTACGTTCAGATAGGTGTGGTAGGTATGAAGCTGAGATGTTAAGGCAGGGAATTGTTTCTTTCCAACCCCATCATTCAGACTGACAGTCCTTGCTGACACCAGCCAAGACTAGGTGCTGCTTGCTTACTTGGTGGTCCTCAGGCATCACGTAGGGCTGGCACCTCTCACAGATCCCAAAAAGCTGTGCCGTCCCTTATGCTTACCCAAATGAAAGCTGGCTGTTACCTGAGGGAAGCAGGAGAAAGGAGGAGTGTTCCCAAACTCATATCTCCTATTCCTGAGGATGCACAGGACACAGCTTGTGATCCCATGGCTAGAAAGTGTGCATTGCACAGGCTTCATGCACGAGAGAAACTCTGCAAAATGTGTGGAATATGAGCTTACAAGCCCCTGTCATCCTTGCTGATGCTCTAAGCCAGGTGTGCTTGCCCCAAAACTCCTGCTGTACCTTGGGGACTGTATAACCAGTTAGGTCCAGCTCTTCTGGGGCAGTTTTTCCCTTCCACCTCCCCATGCAGCTGTTGAAGCTACGTTACTCGCTGTAGAGACTGACACAAAGGCAGGGGCTCTGGCTGGACAAGACTTCAAGCAACATGGATTTAAAAGGAGGAGAAGGAAAAGGAGAAGGAGGAGGAGGGGGAGGAGGAGGTGGTGGTGGAGGAGGAGCTGTGGTCTTACATTACAGCCACCTCCCTCCCACGGTTCCGAGCCAAAAGGATTGTCAAGATTAGAAACATTATCTGCATTCAAATCCCACTAGCATTATGGAATCAGAAAATACTGTAAGGGGATATATAAATGCTTGATACTGTAATGAGGAGGGGGCAACCAGCCAAGCTGCTGTGCCTCTGGCACGCTCTCTATTTTGCTGCCTGATGAGGTTCAAATGTAGGTATGAGAATGCACGCACACCTAGGCACTGGTCAGACTTTCCTGCCCCACTGGAAAGCAGCAAGGGCAGGAGCGAGGTCCTGCCCCCACGTAGCTGGCACTTGAAAATGCCACCGTAGGCACTGGCACCCTGCAAAGGTCCCCTGCCTCCGGGCGCTGCCACAGTGGAAAGAGCTGCAGCGAGTCTCATGTTGCAAAAAGATTTCCCCAGTGCAGGACCCCAGCACTCCGCGGATGAGCACAGCCTGTACCGCTTTGCCTCCTTATCTCATTAGCACAAAAGCCCAAACGAAGGGGGCAGGCTGCCCGCAGAGCTCGTGGCTCCCTCCCCGCAGCCACACGTACGCACTGCACACTCTGATCTATGCACACCCATCTTCTCTTAGGGTGAGCCTCCTCAGAGGGACACCTCCAGACATGCCTACAGGAGAGTTGTCCTGTCACCCACATTTTCTAGACACGTTTCCCCTTCCCAGCAAGCTCGCACGCTCAAATACATGCCCCTGCTGAGCCACCTTGCATACGCTGCACGTTTGCATACGCTGCTCCTGATCCAAGATTCCTCTTTTGCAAACATGCCTCACTCCCCACTCATGCCCGACCACTTGTCTGTAGCAGGTGTTGCAGCCTCACATGATGAAGGCACATATCTGAGCTTCTTCAAACACCCCCAAGAAACCCTAACCATCCCCTGCTTGCAGCAGTCAAGAGCTATGGGGATCAAACTGCTTGTACTAACATAGATATAAGTAAGTAGCCAGTGAGCTTGGAGCTAGATCAAGTGTGTTTAATGACTGGGCAGTTTTCTTCCCTTGGTCCTTCTCTATTTTACTTCTGGTCACAGCATGACCAGAGTCTCAAACTTTGACTGAGAAACCTCTTGCTGCTCTACACAACTGCTTCAGCACAGAGAGTGACTGACAATGTCCCCTAAAGCTGCTGGCTCCATCCCTTTTTCCAGTAAAAGGCACAAATACACATAAAAGAGAACAAAAAGCAACTTCTGCCCCTACTACCTGCTTGCATATGTCTAGAGAGCTCACAAGAGGGGTCCATCTCTTGCTGCTTTATTGGGTTATCTGCTGCTCTCAGGTGCTGTAACATGTCAGGCCATGGCCTGAGCCAAGAGATGGGGCATCAGAACTGGTAAGACCAATGTTTTGGCGCATGAAACACAGACCAGTGCTCTATAGAGCTCGAGAACCCTGAACATGCAAGCCTCACCTTTATTTCAACCTGGTAAAGCTGTGTGCTTCCTCCATAATGTGGAACACCCCCTAAAGACAACAGGCCAGGTGGCTGCAGGGAGATAAAGGCTGCGGTAATTACATGTTGCTGTTCCTTGATGAAGATCTGAAAGGAAGATGTGGGTATCCACTGCTGCAGGGGACGTCCTCTGGAGAAAGAGGCTGTGATGCTCTGACTGATGGTTGGTGGAGAACGTCTTTCTGGAGGGCTTTGGAAGAGGCCTGGGGATGTGTATTTGGTGGAAGGGAGAAGACAACTACGTTTTCCACATAAAGGTTGCCTCCCTTCACAAGAGCAAACTCCCTGAGCCTAGAGTGTCTGCTGTCTTCCCCAGAATTTTGGTGAAGGGCTGAGCACTGCCAGCATGGGGAGCTGCCCCGTGGCTTTTGCTCCTTGATTCACTGGATCGCTGCTCACTCTTGCCACAGCCGGCTGCAGGGAGGGGTTATTTATAGTGGGGGAGTCAAGGGGACACGTGGCCACAGGTGCTGTGGCAGCGGGTAACATTCAGGTCAGCTTTGAGGCCAGAGGGGATTACCAAAACGGCCCCTGGAGGAGGGCACTGCTCATAAATCACCCTGCCACCCCTCTGGGAACCACTTTTCTGCTGCCACTTCCAGCTTTCTGTGGCTGAGAAGAGGCAGAGACATCCCAGAGGCTTCCGACCCTCTTCCCCATCCCCAAATCCATCAGGGTTTTGTGAGGGTAATGGGGCAGCAGCATGCTCCCCAAGGCAGGGGACACAGTGGGGATGGCAAGGAAGGCATCAGCATCGGAGGCATCCCCAGAGAGGCAGGGGAAGAGGAGGAGGGGGTGCTACAGCTGCTCGGTGGTCTCAGGATGATGTTACCACCCCGGTGGGTGCCTGTGGAAGGGCTAAAGGAGCTATCCGCTCACTTCCCAGGGCGGCCACATGTCCCAGGAGCCCGGGTGGAATTCGCAGGGTCCTGCCGCGGGGCACTTGCAGCACTTCTCTCCTTTCCTCGGATATCTATTTTCACGAATCAGGCAGGAACTTGATATCGTCAAGAGGCCCCTTCATCAAAAATGATGGGAGCAGAGCAGCAGTTTCCAAAGCTGTGAGGAGACAAACACGAGTGTGGCTGGGATTAGCCTGGTTTCCTAAGGAAACCGGGCAAAAATAGGGACCTGGCACAGGGGGCTGGCTGAAGCCAGGGCAGGAGATGTGGCTTAGGGCATTTCACAGCAGAACGGACTGCCTTGGCTGGCAGCTCAGCTGTGCTGTTTTATTGCTCTGCTCTTACCCTCTGACTCGCCCACAGGTCAACACAAGCCAGAGCATTTAAACACTGCTGGGTTTGGGTTTCTTTGCAGGGGGATAGCAAGAAAAGCAATACGGGACTGATGTGGGGAGAAAGGACACGTGGGGTAAGGCCACGAGCACCTGGCAGTGCAGCACCACTTTGCTTTTGCAAGGCCAGGGAGCATTTACCACCAAATCACGCACAATCATTGCAGTGCCCTGGCTCAGAGCACTCCCAGAGTTAAAATAATCTGCAGTGTCCATGTATCATGGGTGCAGGTCTTTCTCCCAGTCATTCCACTGCTTTGGTGTCTCCAATGCAGCTGGGAGCGCTTTCCCAATGCCCAAGCGTGAAAGAGCAGCTGGCAGCACGTGGTCTCACCAGCAAGCTCGGTGCTGCGACACAGTGGGAAGAAATCCAACCCGTGTGACCTCCAGGCAGCCTTATCTCAGCAAAGAGGCAGCATGTGATGCATGCCACCCATCGGCACTGCCTGGAAGCAAAATATGGGTCACTTGTGCCTGCTGTGCCACCCTGGCAGGGCACAATGCCCTTTAGCTACCCTGTGGTGTTCGTGCTGCTAATGCTGGGCTCTGGTTCCTCCTCCACAGCTGGCAGCTCAGGTCCTGGAGCCCAGGAGCATCGGGTTTGGGATGGTGGACTCCAAGAAGGATGCCAAACTCGCCAAAAAGCTAGGTGAGTCCCATGTTTGATATGTCTGGAACAGCATTGGGAAGAGTGCAGGAGGGATGCCAGCCTGAGAAGCCAGCCCAATCCTTGTCACCAGGATGGAGAGGGTGATGGTGGCAACTGCATAATACCTGGGGAGGATTTTTTGAGTTCAAAACCCTCTTTGGCTTCCTGGTCACTTTTTACATTCACAGAGTTGAGCCTTCTCTAGGCAGAGAGCACAGCCCGCACCGAGATCCATTTTCTATATAGTGACAGGTTGGTCAAATTTGGGGTGGTAGAGCAAGCTCAGGCTGAGGTCTGTCCCTCATGCCATGACCCACCAGCCAGGAGTTTTTCAGGATTATTTTGACTGGACCAGCTCAGACAACAGGCATTTTCCCAGGAGGTGTTGCCAGAGTAACCAGCAAGATGCTCCGTGGTAAAAAGAGTGATGCTGTTAGTGCTGTGTTGCCCTCATGACGTTTCCTGTCTCCTTCTTTCAGGCTTGGTTGAAGAGGGAAGCCTCTACGTCTTTAAGGAGGAGCGGTTGATTGAATTTGATGGGGAGCTGGCCACAGATGTCTTGGTGGAATTCCTCTTGGATGTAAGCACAGATAAGCTCAGAGCTAGACAAAGCTTCTCAGAGAAGACCTTGAAAATACTCAACTTTGCTAAAAAACAGAGGTTACTTTTATTTGAAACTCCATCCCTGTATGCTGCACACTGGCATATAAATTATATCGTTCGCCAACTTCCCAGATACTTATCTGACCATGTGTTGCCAGCAAAGCCAATATCTTCATATCCCACCAACCACTTATATCTTAAAGACACTTTGCTCCCTTTCCTATTAATGGAGTATTTGGTTGCTTGACTAGGGAGCTAGTCCCCCACCTCAGTTAGCAAGCTGGCATGCAAACCCTTTGACATTTGCAAAATCCTCCACTCTTTTCTAAGAGCAGAAAATAAGATTAATTTTCAAAAACCATAAAAGAAGTAACATTCCCATAGAACAACTAAAAATAGTCGTTCAATTCATTGAAAAAAGATAAATGCTGCAAACTACTTGCCCATTTCTGGAACCAACCATACAAACAATGCAGCATGCTGCTGCCTCTTCAGCAAGCTTACTGCAGTGCACTGCCAAAAACTAGAGAAGAACAAGACTGGGGAAGAGAAACAGCTCCCTAGGACCCCAGCTCCCCTTCAGCAATGAGTTTGTGGCCGCACACATTAGGTGTGATGGGCAAAGCACATGCAGGTGGCCTCTGGGACCTCAGTAGAGTCTCTCCATCCCCACTGATGAACAATACAGGGTAAGGCACTTTGTGAGGCTCTGTTGGCTGTGCTTTGTGGTGTGCTGCTGATAAATCACGTTCTGTGAACAAAGGGGGAGAGCAAGGATTTCTGTTTGTGTGTTTTCCACAGGAGGGAAAACACCTAGAAAAGCAGGTTAATAACAGCAAATGCATCTGCAGTGCCTGGGCAGCCCGATCTCAAAGCAAAACAAACCCAGTGGGTCTCTACAGGCTTTACCATGGCCTGCCCGCATGTTTTTCTAGTGAAGCCATACCTGTTTTATACCAGTGTTGCTTGGCAAAAGTATAATCTGACCAAATCCTTCTACCAGCAGTGGTTATTTAAGAAACAAAGTTAGGACTAACGATATGGCAGATTGATCTTCCACCTTCCTCATCAAAAGTGTGATGTATCTGGGGACAAAACACAAGTTTAACTCCTTCTGAATAGGTGGATCAGCATGGAAAATATACTTTTAGACTTTCCACTGCTCCAAAACATCATTTGACCACCTTTTTAATATTTTCCAAAAGCATGTTCTTTGTAATCATCTTTTCCAGCAAATGACACTTAAAAACAAATATATCCATCATTCACAGAAGCCCACAGTCCCCATACCAGCCCCTTTCAACTGTTATCCCTTCTTCTCAGCCTCTCCAAAGCCAGCTGCAATTGTTACCCCTTCTCTCTCATCACAGCAGTCCCTCAACATCTATTTGGGTTACCCTGACCTCTTTCAGCCTCCCTCATGTTGTACCAGCCTGTGCAGTGAACCTACTAATTGCTCCCTCTGAAGGTGACCTGTGAAGGTGACCTATGTCTCTTGGTTCCTTGCATTAAGGCAAAGAGCAAGCAGAGAAAATTGGTGACTTCTTCCTTAGTCTGCTAGTGACACAGTGTGCCAGTCACAGGTTGGTGCTGGAAATCATGATATCAAATGCATTTGTCGTGGCAGCTGCTAGAAGACCCCGTGGAGATCATAAACAGCAAGCTGGAGCTTCAGGCCTTTGACCAAATTGATGAGGAAATCAAACTCATTGGCTACTTCAAAGGAGAAGACTCTGAACGTAAGATGCATGTGTCCCTTGGGGGACTTGGAGCCTTGGTGGGGGCAATGGGGGGTTCTTGGTTCCTGCTCATGAACATTAAGGGCATGAGATGCTACAGTACAACAGTTGCTGGAGGATGAGGTGCACGTTAAGTGCCATCTTGATAAATGTAAAGCAGCAGCAAGCAGGACAGCTTTGGGCAGCCTGGCCCTGGTGCTGGAGCACCTCCTTCCTTTTCCAAGGATTTTTTTGCTGATTGCAGTCCCTGATCTGTGTGGCACGCTGGGATCTGTAGTTTTCATGAGCCCTGTGGGACTGCACATAGCATGTCCCGTTTGCCACACACAAAATAGTTCTTGTTTGTAAACCCTGGAAGGGTGGAAGAAACACAGTGCTGTCATCTGCTGTATCTTGTAATAATTCATAATTGCTCTTCCCTTGTGGCTTCTGCGCTGATTAGAGTGAGACCAGCTGTCTATGACATCTTTTCTTCATTCCCTTTTTCACTTTCCAGATTACAAGGCATTTGAGGAAGCTGCTGAACACTTCCAGCCCTACATCAAATTCTTTGCCACCTTCGACAAAGGGGTAAGCATCCACAGACCTCACCACGGGAGCTCACAGCCTCCTTTCTGCACAGCTCAGAGCCTTTCAGTTGCAAAGGTTTAGGCTCTGAAGTAAGAAGTTAAGAGTAAGCCTTCCCTAAATCTCTGGGTGTTGTGTTTTGGGTGCACTGGTGCAAAGAATAAGAGGACGTGGTCCTGGGAGTCCCGCTGATACCCTGCTTGAACAGGGTGGCTGGGCCAAATGACCTCCAGAGGTCCCTTCCAACCTTGCTGTTCTGTGAATTTGTGGTATAAATGGGATATGCTCAAACAGGGGTCATACAAAAAAAAAAAAAAAAAAAAAAATGGAACAAGAGGCATAAGGTGCAAGCAGATCCCGTGTTTATCACAAAGCCTTGCTCTTCCTTTAACTTCCGTATCTACCACTTACATGGTGCTTACCAGAGGCTCAGGATGTTCCCAGACTTAATATCTGGCTCCAGCTCCTCATTTTAAGCATTCCTCTGACTTGTGGTATTTGTGTCTGCTTTTGGTTTTGGCCCTGTTCCAAGACAAAAGGCCATTTCTGCAGTACAAAGTCAGATCCATAACCAGCTCCATTAGGCTCGTGAGACTTGGACTCTGGCCTTGTGCTGCCCTAGTGCTCGACACTAGTAGTGCAGAAAGCATCAGTGGTGTTTATATCAAAGAAAGATTCGTTTGTGGTTTGCTGGCCACCCCTAAGAGTGCATGCTATGAGAGAGAGAAAACACCTTGACCTCAGCTCTGCCACCAGCAGAGGCTCTGGGTGGGCCAGGGGGCACCTCAGGCTGACTCACCTGTGGCCATCTGCCCTGCAACAGGTCGCCAAGAAGCTAGGTCTGAAGATGAACGAGGTGGACTTCTATGAACCGTTCATGGATGAGCCTGTTCACATCCCCGATAAGCCTTACACGGAAGAGGAGCTGGTTGAATTCGTGAAGGAGCACAAAAGGTACGTAGCATACAGGATGCTCCTGGCCATGGGAAGCAGGCAAAGGTGTCCATCATCACAGGCTTGACCCTCCAGGGCAGCCCTTCTCAGTAAAAATGAGGATGACCACCACCTTTTGGCTGTTTGCTGACCCATGCTTGAGATTTTGATGCGTCTTTCTACTCCCTGATCCCACATAAACACACAGAGTTAAATACAAGGCACAGCTACCTGAGAAGCGCTACATTTTTGCACCCTTAAAAAATACAAGGGACCAGAAAAGAGCTAAAGACAAACAGGGCCATCGATGCTGCTAGGGCACCACAAGTAGGGAGATTTGTATTCACACACATACACAGGGTTTAGAGACAGGAGTTTGTGTCTTGAATCTGCAACTTAGAGACAGATCTCTGCTTTTTTTTTTAAAAAAAAAAAAAAAGATATGAAGGGGTCTTCTATTTCCCATGTACTCTCAGGTCACTTTGCTGACCTCCTGGACTTCCTGACCTCGGCCCTTCCCATCTTCTTTCCCAAGCTGTTTCTGTCAAGGAGCAGCAGCATCAGGAGGCTGATTAAACGCAGTCAGCTAAATGCTAGCCTAATAAGGCAAGCTCTCCATCAGCACAGATCTGCAGTGAAAACTCCCCATGTCCTTACATCTTTTGAGATGCTATGTTGCACTCGGTAAGAGCCATTTATTTTGTCAGTGTTGAGGCTCAGAAGGGAATTTAAAGGAATCTCAAGAAATTGGATGCCTGCTCAGGTTAGAATCCCTTGATTACCTGTGCAAAATGCTGGGGGTGGACCAGCATTTTGGGGGACACCCCATTTTGGTGTAGCGACATGGGGCTGAATTCTGCTTCCTGAAGTCACCTACAATGCATTTACTTTGCTCTCTTTAGCACAGGGGAGCAACTGGTGTAAATGTGGAGAAACTCCACAGATATCAATATATATTGGCATGCTCAAAGTCCTTTACACCAAGCTTCCTTCCTCCAAGACCTTACCCCAGAAAATGGCTAGGGAAAACATCTGAAAAGCCATGTACAAGTACATTGATGTGCATTCATTCACCATAATCTCTAGTTTCTGACAAAGAGCAATGAGGATGCTTTCTGGGTCAAAAATTGTATCCCTGACCTTGTGCTTAGTGGCTATTTTTTTGATTTTTATAGTCATTTTTTACCTCATTTCTACTTTGATGCTGAAAGTATCCAATTGTAATGGGTTCCACAGGTGAACTATGCATTGTATCATATGAGTATTCCTCTTTGTTCACTTTATACCTGTTACCTAATAATTTCACTGTATGCCTGCTAGATCTTGTGTTATGAGGAACAATGACTAGCCATTCCCTGTTTCAATTCTTTTTATCATTCCTGGCTTTTTACAGTCACTTCTTCAGTCACCTATTTTTCAACACAATGAGGTCTCCTCCAGTTAATCTCCATGAAACAGAGGCCATTCCATACCTTTGTTTACCACTACCATGTTTCCACTTACCTGTTTTAGTTGCCCCGTATCACTTCTGCAATTAAATGGTTCGAAACACAACCATTTCAGTGTGGGGATGCATAGTGGAGTTGTCCATTGCCGTACCGATACGATGTGTTTTGCTCTTCAGCTGCTTCCTAACCATTTGCAAACTTCTTTTTGCCTTTTGCCTTTGGAGCTGCTGATTTCTCAATTTGTGACACCTGGGCCTCTTCGCTGAGAGGCAATAATTGATGATAACTAATTTAGAGCCCGTTGCTGCACCTGTACAATCAGGGTTGTTTTTCTGCAAGTGCGTTACTTCCTATATGTCTATCCATCATGCAGACACTCAAGTCTCAGGAGACGCCTCTGTAACTCCTCACCGTCAGGCCTGGTGTTGGCCGTCTGAGTAATTGGATATGATAAGCAAATGCTGTCATCTTCCTATTTCCCAGCTTTTTCAGATTATGTAAAAATATGTTATGCATATGATCATGTCAAAGCATATGCTATGAATCTTAATTGGCTCCTCAGAGCCCTGAGGAACCTCTAAAAATGTGAATCTCCACTGCTCTGGTAGCGAGGCAAACCAAAGCGACAGGTAACACATCTCCTTGATGCCACCTCATCCTGGCCATATGCTGCCACTCCCTTTACCAATTTGTCCTAGGCCCTCATCGACTGACACTTCTCTTTGCAGCAGCTTTTGGGGCTGGTCTGCCACAAAGAGCTGCTTTGTTGGGGAACCTCCCTGGACACCGATGCCACAGTCAGCAGAGCTGCAAAAGGCCACTTGTACTTGTCTGCTATGGGCTCATGTCCCTCGGGTGCTCACCTCTCAACCTGCTAGGCTTTCTGACAGGCTTCCTACTTTGGATGTGTCCAAAAATATTGACTATTCCTTTTTCTTATCTGGTTTGAACTACTTCTCCAAAAAATTGCTTTGGTTGGTCTTGCAATTTAAATGTTCATTCCATTGGATATTATGATATAATTCTTCTTGCCAGAGGTTATTTTTTGCTTCAGCAGAGTCTAGGGGGATTTTTATGATGGAATTAAGCTGGGTTGAAACTAACAGAAGAAGGGAACAAGGCCCCATAGGAAAAAAAAAAAAAAAGAGTGTGAACAGCCCAGGGACTGCAAAACAAAAGTGAATGGGCCAGCTCACGCTCTCAGCATGGACAGAACAATCTGCCATGTGTGGCACTGATTCCCCCAGTGTGCCCCAGCACAGAGAGGCGTCTCATCTTCCCGAGCACAAATAACGTCTGCACTGACTCCAGAGGGGTAAGGGCAGGGTTTTATCACCATGCATGAAAGCAGAAGTTGACCTACTCTGCCCCCAGGCTCACGCTCAGAATGTGGTGGCTTACAGTTCTGATTCCAGCCACTGATCAGATGTGCCATGGTGACCTTGACCTTGACACCAACAGTGTTGTGTGTGACGGTGCTGGACGTGTCCTCAAAGAGCCTTTTTGTCTTCTTTTCAGAGCCACCTTGCGGAAGCTGCGTCCAGAAGACATGTTTGAGACGTGGGTAAGCACATGTGGGTGGGGAGCCTTGCATCCCCTGCTAGCTTCCAACAAGAAACAAACCCATTCTGGCTACCGAACCACTTCTCTAAAGCTCCAGCCTCTGGCTAGGCAAAAGCAAACAAACAAACAAACAGCAACAACAACAACAACAACAAAAAAAAAACAAATACAGTAGCAATAAAAATTTTCCCAGCATCATAAACAGTTCATTCCCAAGACCCAACTATTCTCCCCAAGAAATGGAAGACCAGAAGCTGGTCTCAGTTAAGTAACTACTCCAGCCTCCCCAAGAGGTATCAGTTGTTGAGTATCTCTGAAGCAACCAAGGAATACAGATGCAGAGCACCCTCGGGAAGGATTATCTAATGGGCATCAGTGATGGTGGTGGAGCGACCGTGGTGGCCTTCTCACTGGGGGAGTTATGGAGATTGTACCGAATGGATGACTCATGGAAGTTGTGCTGGAGCAGCTGTACAATTCAAAATGCAAGCGAGGGCAGGCAATTCAGCTAATTATATAGATTGCAGAGCAAATCATCTGTTGATTGCTCTTCTCACAGCGTGGGAAAGCTGCAAGTCAGCGGTCATGAAGAACTAAGTAGCAGTTTGGAAAAGATAGCATGCACAGGTCTCTCCTGGTCTGCAAAGTAGGGGAAGAGGGATGGGGTCAAAATTAAAGAAAAATTGTGTATTACAAATTATTCCTTTGCTGTGAATGAATAAGATGTTAATAGCCATTTAGGGAACTTTAACTGTCAGCTGAATGCTGGGGAAAAAAAATTAAAAAAGCTGAGCAGGTGCTTTATAGATGTTAGAGTAGTTGCAGTCATTCCTCCAAAAATCTCAGTACAGCAGTTTTAACAGCATTCAATATATAACATGAAATGCCGTGGGACTCAGAAGCACCAAAAACCCTGGGAATCTTTAATACAACAAGGCAAGAGGTAATAAAACTGTATCAGGAGTTATGAGTCACTAAGGCGTGATAGGTTTTCATTTGTTTTGAAATACAGAATCTGTGTAGAACATGGCTTCCTAGATCCATTGAAGTCCCTCAAAGTTATTTTCGTGGGCTTCAGTGGGACCCAAATTTCACAGGCAGTGATTTTGATTTCATACTGAATACATTCTAAAATAACCTCCAGACAAGTATGAATTGTCGGTGGTGGGATATTTGCTTGAAAAACAGCCTGGGAATACAGAGCTCGCCTCTGCTACAAGCAGGAGACTTGCATCAACATCACAACAGGCTGGGTTCTGGTCTTGATGCAAGTTCAGAGAATCACCAGTGGCTTCACTGGAGTTACTCCAGCTTTACTTGCTGCATTGGAGGTCAGAAAATAGGTATATTAGATAACAATATATATATATATTCTTATATCTATATATATATATATATCAGTTTTATATATATTTGTATTTTTCTGTCTGACAGTGCTGCTGGCAAATATGGAGAAAAAGCAACGCTATAGATTTTGCCAGCTGTAAGTGGCCTGAATCCCAAAGTAAATCTGCCCAGAATGCTCCTGTGAAAACATATTCCCCAAAGACACCAGCAAAGGCCCAACACCTGCTATTGTTTTTAAAGATAATGTTTTCCACTTAATCTTTCAGTGTGTTTTTTTTTTTTTTCCTCTCAGTTTTTGATGGTGGCTTTGTCACCTCTGGGCTCAGAATGGAAAAGAAATTAGCATTTAGATGGGAATTTCTTCTCGCATTAAAACCAATTGAAATGGAAACCAGGACCAGCAGCGGGTGAGGAACGCGAAGCCGTTCCGTGGGAGATGACATTCATAGCAGGCGGATGATGAAGCAGCTGGCAGATCGATTGGCCTTTGCCAATATCATTACCCATTGCTCACGTGTCTCATGGAGAGAAGCAGTCTCCCAGGCTGTCATTTCTATTCCCAATTCGTTTTAGCCTCAGATTGAGCCTCCCACTCAATGCCCTTCACTGTTCAGAGACCTTCACATAAAGCAGAGACCCTTCCCTACCCAAACGATGCCAAATAAGCCACCTCACCTCCCATAACGGGAGGGAACCTCCTTCACTGGCCCTGAAGGAGGATGTTTTGGGGCTGAGTGTGATGGGGAGATATTTGTTGTCCCAGAAGCAGTTGCAAATTGACAAGGTAAGGTGACCTTGGGCATGGTGGGTGAGCCCCTATTGCCATGCTCATGGGTCCTCAACATTCTCTGCAAGCAAGGTTTTGCCCCACACCATCAGAAGCAATCTCGCTTTTGCCATCACAGTGCCCAACTCATTTTTAGTCATGGCACTTCAGCAATGCTACCCAAATAACCTGGTTCAGTGCCTGCTGCTTCCACAGCCCAGCCTAACCTTGGCTCCCATTTCTGGTGTCCCAGTGGGGCCTCCTTTTGTGTTTGAAGGTATCCCACCACTCTTCGTCTCCAGAAACCACCCTGTCCTCTCTCTCTGGCCCGTCAATAACAGTTTTGTTGTTTGCAGGAGGATGACATGGAAGGAATCCATATCGTGGCCTTTGCTGAAGAAGATGATCCAGGTAGGAGGCTATTTTCCTCCTCGCGTGACTCCCACAACTCCTACAACCAGCAAGAAAGTTTAGGCCTGGGCACCGAGATCTGTCCCTGACCCTGAGTCTGTCTTGCTGTGTGAATTGGGAATGTGCTGAGGGCTGTTTTTGTCACATGTGTGCAGGAAACCCGTGAGCACTGGTTCCTGAAGAGCCGTGGAATCGGTGATTGTCAATGCCATCAGCATGCCGAAAAGCTTCGGCCTCGCAGGGGCCCAGCTCCTCCCTTGCCACAAGAAAACACTGACAGTGTTCCACTCCGTGGAGGGATTATGAGGCTTAATTCATGTGTAACTAATTTCAATACCCGAGGAGGATGCTCCAAATTAAAAGCCTTATTATCAGAAGAAAAGGCAGGGAGACAGCATTTTAATGAGAATTATAAACAACTCCTGCCTTCACAGAGGGCGAGGGAAGTCAAAAAAAAACCACAAGCAAAAGTAGCTGGGTGTTTGCGGGAGAGGGCTGCAGAGGTTCTTCTGTCATTTCAGACGGCTTTGAGTTCCTGGAAATCCTGAAGCAGGTTGCCAGGGACAACACCGATAATCCCGACCTGAGCATTGTGTGGATTGACCCCTGACGACTTTCCTCTGGTGAGTGGCAGGGGCTGGTTTCCTTCCTTGGTTTGGTGCCTGGATGTGTGCACACACAGGAGCGCAGGAATCGCCCCAGCCCGTGCACAGGCTGCAAAGGAAGGGACGCAGGACTAAGGGCGATCACTGGGAGCTGCTCATTTGGGTGGCCTCTCTCCCCTCCTGCCTCCATGCGTGGTCCCCTCCCCATGGGTTGTCCAGCTGAATTTAGACAAAGGGGTATTGCAAAGGTCCTGGTCTGAGTTTTGTTTCTCGCTCCCGCAGCTGATCACTTACTGGGAGAAGACCTTCAAGATTGACCTGTTCAGGCCACAGATCGGCGTGGTGAATGTCACAGACTGTGAGTAGCGTGTGTCCAAAATTCCGGCAATCCCAACATTAGAGTGCTCAAAATGATGGGGTCTAAGGCAGAAAACAGATCTGCTGGCATCAGTAGGATTTCTGCCAAGTGCAAGGAGAGGAGGCTTTTACCCTGAGGAAGAAGCACCAGGACCACCTCATCCCCATGTTCAAGTGGAGTTCTAACACCTCCAACATCGGGGTTTCAGTCTGAGCATGTTTCTGCTGCTGAGCTGCACACAACACACCTCTGCCAAGGACAGGACCATCCCTGTGGCCTGAGCTTCAGGGCTTTGCCAGGTTTCAGTTTCAAGGTCTCACATTTCTACCCTGTCCTGCAGCATGCACCTTTGTCCATGCTGCTCTGACTGAACCTGGCTGGGTTTGTGGACGAAAAGTCATGCTTAGAGCAGAGAACTGGGGAAAAAGGAGGGTGTTTTTGCAGCAGAAGCAGAAAGGCACAGCTTGTGTGTAGGAGGGAAAGATGGTCCCCAACAGATGACAGGGAGCAACCTCACAGATCAAAAATGAATAAATAAATGCACAGCTGTGATAAGAATATGACATAAACTGGTAACAGAGGGATCCTGCTGGGGTGAAGAGGCTGTACTAGGGTTTGTCCAGGCTGTCCTTCATCTCAGCCACCACTGTGCAGGAGGAGGTGCTGGAGGGACTGGTGTGGGAGGAGGAGACGCGTCCACCTACCCATCTGCCTTCAAGCTGGTCTGATGTCAGGTTGCCTGTGCACAGTGAAGGCAAAGCAATGGTGTTATAAAGAAAGCAAAGGCCCTGGATCTTGCCCATCCTGTTGAAGGCAATGAGAAGGAGGTGCTCATGTTGGCTTAGGAGCTACAGAGTAGGTGCAGTGCTGGCTGGATGTGCCCAGTGTTTAGAGCAGCATCTGTTGGACCATTGGGCAGACAAAGAAAAAGGAAAAGAGCCAAGGTAGCATCTGTCACCGACCATCATGAGATAGAGGGACAGACAAGCCAGAAACTGAGCCCAAGTCTTCCATTTTTTTGTCTATATTACTAGCCTGTGATATATCTCTCTGCTGTATTTACTGCAGTTGGCTGTGTTTAAGTCACGTCAAAGTGACATTAAACAGCTATCAATGGAAATTCATGAAAGCAGGACTGTCAGCAGCAAGAGAATCATTTACAAAGCAGTAATAGGCAGGAACATATGCCTTATTATCTGACAGCCACTAAGAGACCTGTAGAAACTCATACTTTATCTAGATTTGATATAGTAAACGTTTCAGATTGTTGATTATAGTATTTGCAGGTTTTACTTCTTTCCTCTTAAGTCTGTTTTCCATTCCTCAAGAGAGAGATTTAAGAAAGTTCTAGGTTGGCTGGTGATATCTAAAACAAACACTGAGCTCATTTCGCTATTTCAGTGTTACATCACTGCTTTCAGCGGAGTTACACAGGTACAAAGTGAGGCTTACACAGCAGAGAACAAATAAACACTCCTGTTGGCTTCAGTGGACATAACCCCTGTGACCCCATCACTTCTCTAAAAACCTGCCAATGCAAACAGCAGAGCTCCCAGAGGCCCCCACTGGCCCCGGCACATTGTTGTGGCTCAGGACTAGTGCCATGACAAGCTACAGAATATTGCTGCTCTTTTTGCAGAGGATCTTCTCTAGATGCAATGTGCCCACTCCTCTCCAGTTTGTCTGAACGTGTCCCATTTTGCCACAGGAACAGTCCTGGGGTCAGGGACAAAGTCATTTGCATGAAGTAAGAGCTGCGTGCTCAGTTTAAGGAGGAAAATATTGTAGAAATACAGCATAAGAAAAGCTCTTGCTTTTGCAACATCAAATGCTGTACGAGGTAACCTGACAGCACCTCTGTGAAACAGGAGGCTGATCCTGTTTTAGATAGAGGGGACAGCAAAGGGAAAAGGGCTTACTCAGGTGTTTGCCCAAGGAACCTCTAGCAAAACAGAGAGAAAATCTTTCATTTCCAGGTCTCAGAGATAATCTAAGCCGTGCTTCCTGTCCCTGGCTAATAGCTGCAATTAGACAGCATATTCTTACTGCATTTTAGACGTGTTGTTACTGAACTCCCCCCTTCACCCTTCCAGTTTATGGAAGTAATGCAGACAGCTGGAAAAAAAAGACTGGGGGGGTGGATAGTCCAGGTAAAGACCCATAGTCCCGCTCTTGCTGACGGGTGTAAGCAGTGCAGGAGTAGGAGCAGGCATCAGGCACACAACACAGGGTGAACAACACCATGCTCTCCTCTAAACCCACTGCTCGCAGTCAGATGCAATGGCACGTTGTGGGGGAGTGGTAATTTTGGTAGAGAGATATCGTGGCTGGTCCTGCCCACAGGCAGCAGGGAGGGAGCTAATGGCACCACCATCCCTGCATCCTACCCGCAGCCCAGTCCTTCCCACCACAGTGGCAACAAATCTGATCTCTTTGCAGGCTGACAGCGTCTGGATGGAGATCAGAGACGATGACGACCTGCCCTCGGCCGAGGAGCTGGAGGACTGGATAGAGGACGTGCTTTCTGGGAAGATAAATACTGAAGACGATGACGACGATGAGGATGACGATGATGATGATGACGATGATGACGACGACGATGACGATGATGATGATGACGACGACGACGATGACGACGACTAATTGTGACTCTGTACAGTTTGACTTGTGGGGGCCGATTGGCCTCCCCCCGCGGCAGGTCCCTCCGTTGCAAGACCTGTGTTTGAGCGTCAGCAAGCACCGCCTGCTCCTCCTTTCCCCCCTGCCCTGCTCTCCCCGCCCTTGCTGGGACCCCCGGCCTGATTCTCAGCGGTGCTGAGCCACCAGGACTGCCCCCGCGGCGGGTGGCACCGGCAGGCATCCAGCACCGCTGTAAATCATGCCTCCTTAGGAAGGACAATAGGAATCTGCAGGGAACCTGCCCCAGTGCCCAGAAAGCGCCCACCTGCTCGCTGCCAGAGGGACACAGGGAGCCTATTTGCATTTTCTGTGCTCATCGGCCCCGCGTGTACATCCAGAGACCAAGTCTCACTCCAAGACATAGGGAAGGTCACTGTAAAGTTTAGCCCTTTTATTAAACAAAATGCCCTTTGCAGCTATTCTGCCAAGACCACCGACTCTTGCAAGTTCTGCTGCAGGACACCGTAGCTACTCATTAACGTGCTAGGAGCAGCAAAAAGGTTTGGGAGAGGAGGAAGGCTTTAGGGACACTAGTTAATTTTTAGTGAGTCCATAAAACAACAGGATACTCCTGTATCAAGCAAAAGGCAGGGCAGGTGTTGTGATATAGGACATCACAGCTTGGAGGTTCTTGAACTTGGAAGTGTTTGAATGCTGGAAAGGCTGATTCAGGCCTGAGCCCAAACTCTGGAGGTTGAAAACCACAGCACTGAACCAAAACATTGGTTCTTAAACTCAAAGAAACACCAGAGCACACCCCAGGCCAGTTCCAAACTTCTTCAGCCAGGTCTGTGCTGGGGCCACCTTCCCTTTCAGGTGAGCTTCAGCTGGATTAAAGGTGGTTCACGAGATAGCATACTCCTGCCCATGGAAACATTCAGAGGGGCTCACCCTGAAGCCCCCAATTCCCCATGACCTTCCAAGCTTTAGCTGACTTTTAAATTCCACATAGCATCGTTTCCCACGACTAAGCTGCTAGGAGGGAACACATCCATCCAACCACATTAGATGCTGGATAAAGTGAGTTGGGCTATGAGCAGTGAAAGCATTCGAGCTGTTTGGCCTTTACATATTCACTTGCAAAGTCGCTCCCTGCTTAGAGGCTGAGATGTCCCATGGTAGCCTGTGAGAAGCTCTTTTTACTGCAGACTGAGGAGATCAAGGCGTCATTTCAAAGCCAAGGGTGTCGCACACAAAGCAACTCAGTCCTAGCGAGTGCAGCTCCATCCATGTGCAGGTCACTTCAACAGTTAGGTCTCCCTGCTTCCCCATGCCAGCAGATTTCAATTGTCTTAGCTTATTAGGTTTGACAATAGTGCAATGAATGGAGAGCTTGGAGATAGCTTTATCTTTATAAATACATTTATAAATATATTTTCCAGTCATTCAGACTCGTTAGCAAAGATAGGGTACACATGTCCTCTCTTGAAACAGACAAAAAACATTGTTCTGGTCTTTCTTATGCTGACTCATGTCAGAGATAAGTGATGTTAGTGGAAATAACAGCGCAAGGGGCAGGAGAATCAGAGCTTACTATATGAATGCGAATTAGCCTGATGAGAAACAAGGTTTACACACCATATATTTCCTTTACTGGATGAACTGCAAAGCAAGATTTTATAGATTTCTTTTTTTTTTTTTTTTTTTTTTTTTCCTGCCTGTTGGTCAGTCTTTTTGTCTCTCTCCTTCTCTCTATACATGAGCTGAAATAGAAATTGGAAATTACTGGTATAAAAAGGCTGACGTACTGATATACTTCTCCATGTGCCATGTCCCATTGGTGGAAGGTGCCAGCATGAACAACACGCAGCCATATATCCGTGTATCTCTGTGCATACGAATGAATGCCGTGCTGACGTGGTAGATGACTGTAGGCCATGCTACCTCCTCACTGAAGATCAAACAGTCAAACAGCACTTCTGAGGCACAATCTGTTAGATAACAGACAGGACAGCAAAGCCCCAGGTCAGCTATTATATGTTTGCCGTTTCTTGCTTCTTTATGATGCATAAACACTGCCTGGAAGCCTCAAGCCAAGTGTGTTTGGGGGTGTTCACACTGGCATTGAGAACAATTCGGGCCCATCCCACAGGACCTGGTGGATGGAGTCTTTTGGAAGGCTTGAAATTCAGCTTGCTCTCAGTGTGGAGGTCCCCTCCTCCATGTACCAGCCTTCTGCTCTTCCCTTTAAACCATTTCAACCAGGGGCTTGCTGGAGGACCCCAGCTTAGAGAGAGGGGGAGCAAGCCAGACTCATGGACTCGTTTATGCACATAGGTAGGAAACAAGAACAGGCTAAACTGGCAGTTTAGTAGTCTCTTGGTCTGTGATTAAGGGACAAGTGCTGCTTATGTTGCTCCCCTGAGAAGAGTTCGTGCTTATCTTTACCCTGGGGCTATTCTCGGGAATAAAGTGTGCAAGATTTCATCCTGCACACGGTAACTTCTTTAGCAGCCTACAAAGGCCCTGCAGCTCCAGGTCAGCCATCGCAAAGTCCCATCACTGCCTATAAACATGAAGATTAAATGAAGAATCACTCTATTGCCTTTCCCAGCTGGCACGGTCCCTGGACATCCCAAATACTTGTGTACTTTCCATATAATACCTCTCCTACCACACGGGATGCACTTCTAGTCTGATACACCCTGTGCATATCAGATACTCAGAGGGCATAATTTTGACGAGAAAGACCCTGCAAATAGCACTGCAGATGTGTTCAGGTGCACAGGTGTTTTGCAGGCACACACATGTTCCAGTGCATCAAGCAACAGAGCTTTGGGGAAAAAAATAATTTAATTGTACTTAGGCTTATCCAGCTGCTAGAAAGTCTGAGCTCATACTACAGCTGATAGGCTGGTGCTGGTGATTTATGGAAAATTTCCCTTGAGTTACGAGAGAAAGGGCTGCCACTCATATGGCTGCCACTCTTCATGGGCCCCCCTTTCTCTCTTCCCTTCATCCCGTTACAGTTTCTTCTAGTTCTTTTTGTCCACAACAAGGATAACTTCATCTTCTACTTACAAAGCCAGAAGTGCCCAGTCCTCTTGACTCCCTTCTTTTGGGATAAACCCATAAAAAGTTAAAAGGTGTTGCTGAAGGGGAAGGATTGCAGCACTGAAGGAGCAGCAGGCAGCAAAGTCTCTCCCCTTTGCCCCTAGCACCCACATTCGCAGTGACTGAACCACTGAACAAGGCAAGCCAGGCTGACTTGCTCCTTAGGAAGTGCAAGATCACTCATGTGAAATGAGAGACCCTCCCTCCTGGTCCCAGGGAAAAGGCTCCTTTGCTGTTGAACACATGGCAAACTCAGGAGTGGGGAGGTCCCTGGGCATAGGTACTCCTGGGCTATTCTGACAAAAGCACACACAACCACAGCATGTCAGTAGCAAAGGCCAGTACATTTGGATGAGGAACCAGCAAAAAAAGAAAAAAAAAAAAAAAAACACAAAAAAAGCTTATTTATTTAAAAAAAGTGTGTTTGTGCACGTGGGCAGCACTGAGCATTTCTGCAGGCAACTCTGTTAAATCTTTCCCTGTCTTAACAAACAGTTCTTAATTGTTCTTAAAAGAAAAATCTTTAAAAAAAGTTCTTAAGTTTTAACTAGATATTTATACTAACTGGATCTTAATACATATAATGAAATACACCCTCATCCAACTGAGACTGCTTCAGGCTGATCAGTCACTTCCATAGCCAAACCTTTGCCTTACCAGCCCCCATGATGGCGAGGACCCTTCCCAAGAAACACATGGCAAGAACGTGAATTCGTATGCTGCCTCCTGAGACGTGGGAGGGTGCTGGGTGGGCTGTACCAGTGGACCATGAACCATCACCACACATGAACCATCAAGGAATAATGGCTTTAAAGTAAAAAAGGGTAGATTTAAATTAGTTATAATGAGGAAAATCTTCACAATGGGGGTGGTGAGGCACTGGCACAGGCTGCCCAGAGAAGTTGTGGATGCCCCATCCCTGGAGGTGTTCAAGGCCAGGCTGATGGGGCTTGGAGCAACCTGGTGTAGTGGAAGGTGTCCCCACACTGCTGGCTGCAGTGACACAACTGTGAGCATCAAACAGCTTCGAGGTGTCCCTCTGCTCCTCAGATGCTCAGTTCTTGTCCTTTCATTGTCACTCCTCTGCTAAACAAGGTCCGAGCTATTAACAATCAAGGGAGAGGGCAGCCTGACAAGAAACACAAACTAGATCTGTGGTGCAGAAGCACAGAGGAGAAAGCTTCTTGCTTTGAAACAGACATGAGGATATGTTGGAGAGGCTCTGCGAACCAGAACTTGCTCTGAGCCAGTGTCAGCCCCTTGGGAAACAACTCCAGAAGGAGAGGACAAGGGAGGCACACTGGAAGTCACAGGTTCCTTCATATTCTTGAGGCCAGCAGTTTTGCTGGTGTTCCTGAGAACAGTGATGGTGAGTCTCCCATGCTGTCAAACCAGACCTCTTGGCTGTTTCCCATCCCTGAACAGGTGGGTACCAGCTGCTTCTCCGTGTCTGTCCACACACCCTATCTAAGAAATGATTTGGGGATTCATTACCAAGGCCAAACAAAAAACACTGCCTTTGTATTCCCAGGGATACAATTAATTAGACAGGAACGTAGCACTTCCTGGCTGCCAAAGTCTTGCAGTCCTGTGAAAATGGGGTAGGTTTACATCTGGATCTCTCTCTGCCCCAGCAAAGCTTTGGCTTTGAGGAAACCCCACGCAGCCAGTCAGACACTGATGCCTGGATACGGGGGTGGCGAAGCACCTAGGCCCTCAGGGGCAAAGCAAGCTGCACCCTGGTGCAGTGCCTAGCCACTTCGACACCTCGGGCACATCTGCACTGTGCAGGACAATGCCACCCGCTAGACACTGGAAGTGACCAAGCTCAGCAAGATGTGCAATTAACCCCAGTTATGAGGCTGCACGAGCCCTATCTGAGACCCAAGATTTGTATGGCACCCACTGCACTGCAGCTTCTTCTGCCCATGATCCAATTCCCTACCCTTGGTACCACTGACATCGCGCCCTCCTGGCCCAGTCCTCATCCAGGAAAATGTTCCCTGCCAGATCTAAAAAGTGCAAAACTCTTAAAAAATAATAAAACAAATTAAAAAAAAAAAAATGACTCTGCTACTCCAGCTGAGCACCAGAAGAGCAGCAAAGCTTTGTGCACAAGAAATAAACCTTGAGGGTTAAACAAATCAGACTTTGCTCGAGGGATTATCACATACTTCAGCAGCAGCTGGAAAGACAACTACCTGCCCGAGAAGACCGGCAGCTGTCCTGACTGTGCCCTTTGTCGGCTGTGGGTGGCAAATGACTCGAATGGCCATAGGCAACCTCCTCTACTTGTGCTCAGAGGAGAATTTACCCGAATCGAGTCCCTCCATCAGTCGCATAGGTAAAGATGAAATGATGCTTGACCAGAGATATTGGCCTGGTGTTGGATTTTGCTCTAAAATTCAATCCAATGTGTCAAAGCCCACTCCTGCTAGTGACGAAGGAAAAGAGGTTGCCGAGTGACAAAAGTAACTACAAGTTTGAAGAACATTTTAGTCCCCACAAAATGAAATCACTGAAGGAATTTGCAAAGCTTCCCACAGTCTAGTTACTGAATTACTAAACCAGTTTCTCCCAAACACTTACAAAGCAAAATTATAATCAAGCGTAGGATCTGGTATTATGGGAACTCAAGAATGAGCTTTTACAAAATAGAAGCTAAAAGATTCACAGATCTGTTTCACATCTGTGGCGCAGATATAATCAGCGCCTTCTTGTTCCCTCTTTTAAAGCATGCCCACAGCATCTGACTTGTGCTGAGGGGAGGTCCAAAGAGCTAAGAAATTCTGAGTGTCTCTTAACACTTCCACAGAGGCTGAATCAAATGCATTTTATCAAGAACTCCCTTCTCTCTGCTTGTATGGAGCTATTATTCATGTTATGTTTTCAAGTATTAAAAAGAAAAAAAAAAAAAAAAGAAAGAAAACCAAGGCTGTAGAAGTCCAAGCATTTGGAAGCCTGATTTTCACCTTCGGAAAATCAGACAGAAAATGTTGCAGTTTACAGAGCAGCTTTATGCCTAGAGCAATCTATGGTGTCTCTGTTTTTAAAATCATACCTTCATGTTCCTAAGGATGCTGGAGGGAAGAAACACACCCTGTTCTCCAAGGTCTCCTCTACCAACTTCGCACTGCCTCCTCCTTGTCTCATTGTCTCTCTTGAGGCTTTGCTCCTTCCTCCATATTTTGCTCCACAGACAAGGTGGCCACACCAAGGTATCCTAAATGCACTTAAACAAGTTATCTCCCTTCTTGCTGTGCTAAAGCATACAGAGTGCTGCCCACACAGAGCCCATAGATGATTGCTCACTTTGTCTTGGCCGTGGCCCCACCAGCTAAGAGCCATTCTGCTCCTCCTGCGGGCAGGACTCACGGGCTCAGGGAGGCAGGCAGGTGGCAGCACGGCTTCCCCAGGCTATTTGAGCAGGGACCAGAGCAAACCAAGCCATACAGAGAAGTGAGCTTCTTCACCCTATTCAGCTCTTCAGCTTTTGAGGGGGAAGGAAGATCAGCTCTATGTTTTGGAGGTGGATGGCAGTCTTGGAGTGGGCTCCAACTTGACCCCAGACCACTGTATAAACATTAGTGTGAAAAAAGAAACCTTCTCCAAGTGTATTTTGGAGGGGTGCAGGGAGATAGGGAAGAAACTGGGAAACAGCTTTCTTTCTGCTGGAGGTACTCTCCATTTTACTAACAACACACAAACTGACAGCAGGGCTGCAAAACTTGTTGGAGCATTTCAAAGCGGCCGGGGTAACCTGGCTGGTAATGATTTATGCGTATGCAATCACCACACTGAACTATCCCTACCTCCATCTGCGAACACGTTGTGTTCGCTGCTCCCTCTCCTCTCAGCACCGACTGGCTCGGCAGCGCACGGATGCTCACATGAAAAGGGAGCGGACACCTCTGCCCCCGTGGATTAATTGTCAGCACCGGAAAGGGCTGCGACCTTAGCCCATCACCTTCCCGGTCCAACACAAACGCAGGAGCGGTGTTGAAAGATAAATCAAAGCCTTCAGCTTGGCCAACTCCCAGCGTGCCTGCCCCTCCTGCCCGCTGGTGTGACACACGGCATCCTGCTCAGAGATCCCCTTCCCCTCCCACCACCCCGGTGCCCCTGCCTTGCTGCACTCCCTTGCCCTGGTGGCCTTCATGTTTAATCCCTCCCTTCTTCATCTCCCAGGAGTTCAGAGCTGGGTCTGGGACCGCAGCGCCGATGCACAGCACTGGTAGAAGGCTGTTTTGAGGTTTGGAGTCCTGCTCACCTCCGCAGCTAGATGTTTCATCCAACTATTTACTTAGCTAATGCTATTGCATGTCGAGGCATTGCTAGTGCCTCACGCAAGACTCTGGAGCCAGATAAGTGACAAATCCCTTTCTTAACCCATTTGTTATACCCAGACTGCACACAGCCCCTTTGCCCTGTCCCTTTCCACCAAATTCTCCAAAGCTGATGTTCCTTTACCATCCATAACGGTGAGGCCCATCACCTACCGTGGTCAGCAGGCCTTATTACGGACTAGGCCACGCTTTGGCTACCAGCCCTGCTCAGCATCACAGACTTTACCCCAGTAGTTGTTGCCGTGCTGCCTCAGGTAGACAAAGCCTTCTGCTCTAGAAACAGGGCTGCAGAGGAGTCTTCTTCCCAAGTGACCCCGATCTGGCATCTCCCTCAGGGGCAAGGTGCTTACCTCATGTTCAGCACACCCCATTCCTTCAAGCATTGTCTTACTAGTCGGTGCCTCCTTCCCCATCTTGTCAGAGGTTTGGGTGGGTGAATGCTTGCCCTCCTATTGCACCCGAGACTCCCTCACACCTCAGAGACCCTTGCAACTCCCGCGAGAGATTTGGCCAAACCAAAACAGCTCCCTCAGCTCTAATTTCTGCTGAGCTGCACACCACAGCCCCTTATGATTCAGATTCCCGAGCTCTGGGTGAAAGCCAAGGGAACTGGTCCCTCTAGCAAAGCCTGTTCCTTCCCTCAGCTTCCACAGGCCAGGGTAGGAGAGAAAGCACAACCAACAGCAGCAACCGGCTGCTGGTTTGGTATCAGGACTGAGCCGCAAATTAAACTGAGCCCGCTGAACTCAAAGACAAACTCAAGACAAAATTTTCAAGGCTACCCACCATGGGCACCCGAGGGCGGTAGCGGCGTTATTCCCCCCTTTCTCTGCCCATTTCGGGGAGCTGCCCTACAGGAGGGCCAGGCCAGGACACTGGTGCTGGGCACTGCCAGGATAAAGGGACAGGGATCAAAAGTGAAGAGATCACAGGAGGGCAGGAGGCAGGACTGAGCACACCCCCATCCCACCCTTCCTGCTTCCTCCCGGGCTTTGGTTTGCCGCCGTGTAGCCCAAATAGACTCATCTCCCCTCCGAGCAGAGAATTACCCGTTCGGATGTTTCTCTCCACCAGTGTTTATACCCATACTGCTTATCGCAACAACCGCTGGGCTGTTTTTCACTACTCTGCAGCATCCTGTGGATTTTTCCATGGCATGGAGAAGACCTGCTTTGTGGGGCACAGCAAAGAGACCAGGTACTCCACCGCCATGGAAATGTGCTGTCCTGAGGAGCCAGGTACCAAAGACCTCCAAGGGAAGGCGGCCACCATGCCAAGCTTCCTCGGGCACAGTCTTTCCGAGCTCTTGGCACTTGGGGTATGGAAACTGGAGGTGGGGACAGCCGCACCCACGCGTGCTTTTGGGGCAAGAAGCCTGACAGTCATTTCTAGCAGAGCACAGGCTGACATCCACCGAAACGAGGAGCGCTGCTGGCTTTGCCCCGCCACTCCTCCACCCCACCGGGCCCAAACAAGGAGTTCAGGCACGAATCCCACACTTGGTAATTTGTGTGCAAACCAGCAAAGAATAGAGCAGGCAGAAAAACCTGTTCCAGCCCCATTCCCCCACCACCACACACACCCTCACCAGCTGTATTTACTCTCCATCATTTGAGATTTCAGGTGTTCAAAGCAGTCACCTACCGGTCCCATTTCGAGAGTGATAAATGAGCTTGCATTTTAGTGCGGCAGGGCAGATCAGAAGGGTCTCGGAGGAGGGTGACAAAAGACAGCCTCAAAAAGGTAAAACCACATGTTTGCAGGGCCCCTCCCGGGCGCAGCTAAGGAATGCTTGGAGGCCAGAACTACCACCTCTTTTTTTTTTTTTTCTTTTTGTCTTCTTTTGGTCTGAAAGGATGAGAAGAAGGAGTGGGACAATCAAATCTGGTTTCAGTTTATTTCCAGAATTTTACTGTACAAAATATGCAAAGTGTAAAACAGTTTTATGTTTCAGTTTAAAAACAACAAAAACCCATCCAGCTATAACTTAAGAGAACCCAGCTTGGAACAGAACGACTTACTAGGCTAGACCCACAGTGCATTAATGTCACAGACACCAGGAATTTGCTTAAGTTCACGATTAGAAAAGAACAGAAAGACCATGTACCAACGCGGTTAAAGTCACATGTGCAAAGAGGAGGAAAAATAAAATTAAAAAAAAAGAAAAAAAAAGAAATGCTGGTTAGTGTCTATTGATTAGAAAACCTTGGCAAAACCCATCTTACTATACACAGTTTGTGTAGAAAAAAGAGTATTACACAGTGATCCAAAAAGGGCGCAGGATGAGAGTCGGTTCACTCCCCTCCTCCCCAAGACACGATAATGCTGAATCAAAGAAACAGGCACAGAAGAGTGTAAGATCCCTTCACAGGCGGGTCCCTGCGGGCGCTGAGCCCCAGCATCCCCGTGTGCAGGCAGGGGATGCTCCCAAGCCCCTTCGGCGCTGGTGCAAGGTGCCCACGGAAGCAGCCGTGGGGAAGGATTGCCCCTCTGGCAGAGCACAGCCACAGCGGGGCTGCGAGGCGGCACGAGGGCAAACCCACAGCCTCTCGGAGGGAAGCAGACAGGCAGCTAAAAGCGCTGGTGCTGGGGGGACCTGGTGCAGGAGAAACCCACCGAGATCCACGCCAGCCCCAGGGTAGTGAGAAGCAGCAGCTTTTGGTCACCATCGATCTGAGGCGGCAGCCCGAACGCAGAAGGATGCATATTCCTGCAGGAGACTTCAAGGCTCAAAGCCCTTTCTTTTAGGAGAACAGGATTTTTTTTAACCTTCTTTTTTATTTTTATTTTTTTATATAAAAAAACGGTTTGATCCCAAGAGTGCTTCCTTCTTCACACAGTTTAAACACCGAACCACCAAGCCTAGCTTGAGGCTTTAGACATGTATAATGCATACACCTATAAGGGAACAAGCCACATACACACACAAGCTGAATGAGAAAACAGACATCTGCACAAATGTCTCAGGAACCTCCCACATGGCAGGGCAGAGCTAAGCACAACTGAACAGCAGAGCCTGGGACCAGACTACAGCATTTTTTCCGAAAGACTGCAAGGATTTTTGATTTACCATTAAAAAAGGGTAGATTTACAAGGTTTTGTAAGCAAGATGAAATTGGCCTGAGTAGGTTTCCACATTTAGCATGGCACAGATCTTTCCACTTCCCTCAGTAACAAATGCTGGAACAAGCACATCTCAAACAAGCCTTTTACAAGGTACTTAACGCACGGCCAGTTTTAGAAACTGCTTCTCCCCAGCTTTTGGCACGCTTGGGAGCAGCCGATTCCCTAAGCTTTGTGTGGAGCATCCCAAAGGAAAAGGGAAAAAGCTCCTTTAGCATTGGGATTTGTTCAGAACTCCCCCAAACGTGTGTCTCCTATGAGATGTCCCCAAGCTCCAAACCATGGCCCAGCCCTTCCCACCCCACTCTTCACTCTTTATCCATGAGAGTCAGCCTTTGTGGAAACCCACTGCCATTTCCATCTGCTCTGAGGCAGCGGAAAGTCTTAGTTGCATCTGAGTTTTGGAAGATCTCAGCACGGTTTTGGATTTAGGCTGTTACAAATCTGAGTCTTTAAACTGTTCGAGCAGCATACTCAAGAGTCACAGGAAAAACAGCACGGAAGAGAGGAGCGGGGCAACACCTCTCCTGGCTAGGCAACACGGCACCTTATCGAGTGGGCTGGCCGTCAGTGAAAGATGTCCAGCATGAGGTTCTTCTCCACCAACTTCACCACAGACAGGGTCTCATAAACGACCTGATGTCTAAAACTCAGTTCCCAGTCAGATTAAAGCATACAGGCAGGGACAGAGCAGGGAGAAGGAGATGGTGCAGGACAGGAGAGGTGTTCGGAGGGAAACAGCCTGCACTTGGCTGGCAAACCCCACAGGCCTTATTTACGCTCAGCTCTTGGCAAGCTCTCCCGAAGTAAGGACTGCAGGATTTGGATCAGAGCTTCGTTCCCTCTGACTCGATTCTTACTCATTAGCTGGCTATAAACAGAGTTAAACAAACCAGTCTGCTCTCACTGCTCAGGATTTTTATAAAGGGCCTGAGTTCCTGCAGACTTCACAGATCCATCCATGGATCTCAAAGCACTTCGCGACGAGCTGAGTTTAGCCTCACAACACCCCAGTGAGGTAGGTAACGATCGTGGTCCCTTGATTTCGCATGGGGAAGTGAAACAAGCCCCCAGACAGAAATCCAGAGAAATAAAATATTAAAAAAAAAAAATTGGGAATACCCAGGAGTCCAGATTCCTTGTAGCACGTCCTCAGCCCTGAACAGGCTGCAACTCTAGAGCAAGCAGGCCGTTCGAGAGGTGAAGCTCCCTCCCTTCAGATTTTATCAGGCAGAGCATTCACACCGACACTGGGAAGAGCGTTTAATGCAAGAGCTGGCCCCTGCTGACAGTGTCCTTTGCAGCGACAGAGAGAGAAGGCAGCAGAGTGAGCACACGCTGCTTCCGTCTGGCTCTCCGTGCGCTTAAGGATTTGACGCAATTAAGGATTAAGACACGAGTTTCCTGAGCAGATACCGTCAGACAACCCCCTCACAGGGGGGAGGGAGAAGGGGCGGTGGAGGAAATCCTGGGAAAGGAAAGTTTTACAGAGAATTGCCTGAAACGAGGTGCTCCCGTTTTTCACTGGCACGCCCAAGCCCCCGGCACGGTGCTTCTTGTTCTGGCTGCTCGCAGACGAGCCAATTCAGCCACAGGCAGTACCCTGAACACAAGCAGAAGTGCTCCGCAGTCTCCCTCCCAAGCTACTCCCAGTCTCTCCCACCCTGCCTGCTTATGCACATCTTAAAAGCCAGATACGTACAGTCTTTAGGAGAGCTGTATGTGAGATACTATACACCCACCCAATTTTGAAAATGATGCACCCTCGCAGTGAAAGGCACTGGTTTTGTACCTCGCTGACACGGGAGCCCTTTGCATTAAGACATCTACGTGGAAGGCAGGTCAGCTCCTGCTAGATACAGATATTTGCATGGCAAAAGGCTGGGCAGGGTGAGCTGAGCTGTTTCCACTCACACAGGTGAATCCATCACCACAGGGCTGGGAGGCTCTAGGAGGGACCTGGCTGAAGGGCGATGCTTTGTGCCAGCAACCAGACGCTGGCTTAAGCTCATCTTTCAGAGGAAAACTTGCAAAACCCCGCAAAACTCAGATGACAAAAGTCACACACAAAAGCTGCAATGACGGGCAAAGACGCTTTCGAAACAAAACTGCAATTTTCAGAGCTACGAGTCGCACAAAAGCAGAGGAACAGCAGGCTGTCCCGGCACTGAGGAGAGACCCCCACGGCAGAGAAAGGCCAAGAAAGGTAGGCAGGTTTTCAACATTCAGACAGAGTTTGGTATTGCTCAGCTACAGCTGAGGGTGAGGAAGGAAGGACACGCTGCGGCGTTTGTAGATCTTCCCCTCCAAGGGGCTGGGGGTCTGTGATGTGTGAGAAGGAGCCGGCTACTTACCTACTCTGCCCCAGTGCAAACGCGCAGCCCCTGCAGGTGTGAGAGGAAGAAGCAGTAAGGCAGACCCCGAGGGGACCGTGACTGGAGAAACACGTTTGGAAAGGCAAGCAAAAAGGGACGGAAACGGGGAGCCTTGGGAGGGCCCGACAAAGGAGGGGGTAAGCAGGAGAGATGGAGCAGCTGAGAGAAAGAGAGCAAAAGGGAGCTGTGTCCTGCAGACCAGTTTCGCTAAAAAGCATCGCTAAAAAAATTTTGTTTTGAAGAGCGGCAAGATGGGCTGAGCCACTTTGAGACAAGCAACTTCACAGAGGCTGAGAAACGGACGGCAAAATCATCCCACTGTGCTCACGCAGGTCCAGCACTGATAAAAGGGCACAGGGAGAATAGGAGGAAAAAAAAAAAAACAAAACACAAAAGTTTGTCTTAAGGTTCTGTGGCTCACAGAAGAAAAACCTCTCACACCCAGTCTTTGATACCCTCTCCTTCCTAAGTGGAAAGGAACTGCAAATACCACCTGTACAAGCAGATCTCTACGGCGGAGAGGTGAGCAGCAGATTCTCAGCAATAGCTACAGGTAGCAGAGACACAAGAGCGCGCACACGGTGTAAGGCAGCATTCCAACAGAAATACAGACGTTGCAATTGTGCAGAGAAAGAGAGCGTGAGATTTACAATATGCCTGGAAAGGGGGGAAAAAAATAATAATAAAAAAAAAATCTGTTCTGTCTCCAAGGCTGAGCTAACCGAGCCAAGTCACCCTGTTGCCTCTTAAGATATTTCTTTCTAGATAAGATATCCCAGCTCCCCCCACCCCTTTCCAAATAAAGTGCAGATGGTCAAATATTACTGGTCCATCATCTGCCAGTTTCAGTCAGCATTGGGGAAATTAAACCCAAAAGCACGATATTGAAAAAAAAAAAATCCCCAAACAACCCACCCTCGAAATCCCTTAGACTGAAGTCTCGGACTGTAAGCGAAGGACAAATTTATGAGACTTAGGGTCTATGAACTCTTCTGAGAGTTTGATGAAGGGGATTTTCTTCACATTAGCAACAAGGCTGAAGTCCAAGCACTTGAGGACAAAAACAATCCCGTCTTGCAAGCCGCTTGTGACCGCTTCCTCGCTAACGAGCGTCCACTGCTTGGAGAACCAGCGATCCCTGTCGTACTGGAGGGTTGGGCCAGGGCTGAGGTAACGCTCCAGGAATGCCTAGCAAGAAAAGGATCACATTAGCACCAGGGGAACAGCAGCCCCACGACTCGGTCTGCTCTGTCACCTCTGTCTGCAGGATGGTGGCTGTTTTCAGGAGGGGGAGGCGGGACGCTGCGGGATATCAGAACAAACAGCTGATTATCTCACAGGCACTTTCAGCTAAGAAGATACGGGAGGTGCTTTATAGGAAACACCCTCTTCTCTTTAAGACCTGATGCAATCTCCAGCATGCTGACTGTATCACTGACAGCAACCACATAAATTCCCACTCACTTTCCCCAACAACTCCCTGCTCTGTGCGCGCACGCAGACCTGCTGTACCTTCATCCCTCCGTCCTGCACCAGCGTTAAAAGAGCTCGTTACCTTTGGTGTCATGTTGTTGGTGATGCAGAAGGACAAGTGCTGCAAGATGCTCTCCATGCTGTGGTACTGCTGCTGGCGGGTGGTGCGAAGGTACTTCTGCAGAGCTCTTGCCATGGAGGGGAAGATTGCCTGGGCTGCTTCTCGGGGGTCCATCATCTCTCCCGGAGCTTTCTGCTGTTCCTCTGCTTGGAGGCGTTTGATATGAGTGAAAGCCTCCTCTACTGCAACCACAAGCCTGCAGAAAGAAAACCAGGATGGCAAAAGTCACAAGAGGAGAGGTAGGATGGCTCTGTGGTTAAGGCAGAGCCTGGGAGTCAGGATTTACAAGCTCCTATTCCCATGTCTACCGCTGACTCACTGTCTGCCATCGGACAAGTTACATAAAATGGTCTCTGCTGACAGTCTGTGAGGTAGAGAGCAGCTTTCCTTTCCTCGCTCAAGCCATCCGAGGGTCATAAAGCAGGATTAAGACTTTAAAAGCCTGAGTGTCGTACTTGGTTCTGCCAACACAGCATAAACATCGGTTGCACGAACTGAACAAGACACAGCTGCCCTCGCGGTGAACGCGCATCTTGGAAAGCAGCAGTTCCAGCACACAGTGCAGCAGCTTGAAGTCAGGAAGAGGCTGGCCATAAACTAGCATGACCCAGGACACAGAGTGCTGTAGGGCTCTCCCTGTGCTCCCAAGCTGTGGTCTGCTCTGATTTACACCAACGGGTACAGTCCTTGTGCCTCTGGGTGACTGCCCTGTAACGCTCCATTGTACGCTGATGAGATCCCCATCTTCATGGCTAAACTGCAGCCAAAGACATCTTCTACAAACCATTCCTGTCTTGGTACAGGTGAGCAAACACCAAGACTGCACCAGAAAAAGGCAAACATGCCAAAAAAACGTTTGCAAGTTAGCCCAAAAGAATTTAACAAGCGAGGAACTATGCTGCAGTCAACGAGGAAAAGCAACAATAATGGAAAAGCCACCCAACAAAAGTCTTTTGCTTCTCTAGACAGCACTTGTTTCACACTGGATTTCCATTCAAGTCACCAATTACTGTCTACAATGCCCCAATACTGGGGTACCCAAGCACCTTAAAGCTAGGAGAAACTGCCTCATGACAAGCAGAGGTATAGAGTATTGCATTCAAACTACATGTGAAGAACACCATGAGAAGCCCCGACCCTTACGAATTTTAATTTGACTTGGGGGGAAACTGGAAATCAGTTTCTGATCTCCTCATGTCCTGTTGTTGCAGCTCTGACCTTCCTTCTTTGAAACATCTGGCCTTCTAGTGACTGATGGCTTTCCTCCGACTAAGCAGCTGCTCAAACCAAACTCATGGAGCAAGGGAGATGTGCCCAAGTTCGGATGCTACACTGCACGGGAAGGGAAATTTAAGTTCCTATCACTCCAAGGCTGGAAGAGAGCCCAACAGACAGCGGCTAAGGAGCACAGGTCAGACCAAATCAGGCTATGGGGACACACTGTGCCAGCACTTTCCCAACAGAATATAAACAAACTGCCAAAAGAAAACACAAAACAAGCCAGCTCCTTCCAGTTACTGCACGTGCCTTCCCAACGCAGCTCAGTTCAGGGGGGCCTGCCTGTAAGCAACTTCCCTCGAACCATTCGGTGTGTTAACTACAAACTGTCATCAAGCTCCTGAAAAAATAGAGGCACAAACCATCTGCGGTCACCTCACCGAAGCGTTAACTCTGCAGCCTAAGTGTGACTGACAGAAAACATTATTTCCAAAATCAAACGCAGCCAGTTCTGGCCATGTCTTTCCTCCCCTGCTCATCTAAAAAGGGCAGCCAAACTGCTTCTTTTTGTTGCCTATAAGCCCAAATATTCTTTCTTCCCCTACGAAGAGGCGAGTCCAAGTCTGTCCCTGGATTACTCGAGCTGAGATGACAAGCCTAAGCATGGGGGAAATAATGGGATTTCCTACAGCAAGTAACTACGGATTTGTCAAACACTGGACTGTTCCCTAATCCGTGACATTGCATTAGCTTATCTGGCATAATATACATGAGCTCTGCTTATGCATTTTCCTCAGATAACTCTAGTTCCAAGCTGTCACTGTCCCTCGTGCATCTGGGTTTCGTATGCTTGTGTTCTGCGACAGATTTACAGCCAGCCCCAGCCCTTCATCGAAAACTCCCTCCCTCTCAGCAGGCTCAGCCAGCCCAACACAACCAGGTCTCTAACGAATGGTTCGGGCACGGGCTGAGCAGTGCCCAAAAACAATCCTGGGGAAGGAGCAGCTTTACCTCGCCCGACGTTTTTTAACTCGGCGCTCGTGGTCGGCCTCTTCGTAGTAGAGCTCGTTGTGGCTGGAGTCTCTGCGCCGAGCAGCGGCTGCGATCATGGCACGGGACTGCCCCGAGGCGTTGTTACCTGGGCCTTCCGCAGGGGAGGAAAAGGAGAAAAAAGAGACAAAAAGCGGGCATTACCGGCACAGAAGGCAGCTGGGGAAGACCAGCACCCCACAGGCATCTGCCGCAGGTGGTCTGCAGCTCCCGAAGCAGCAGGATCACCTTTAGACAAAGCACAGAGTTTTTCTGAAGGACAGACGTGTCTGAGCAGCTGGCCTGCAATGGGTTAGGTTGGGGTGCATGTGCACAACAGCTCCTTGAGGCACTCAGAGCAGCACCTGCCATCAGAGCTTCTGTTGCTGTTAACAGATCTTGCACAGCTACAGGAACAGGGAAGCTGCGAGCTGGGCTCTGCTACACCCCAAGAAACTGACAGAGCTGTCTCTGCAGGACCTTAACCAGTGACCCTAAAATGCAGTAAAGGCCTAGGAAGCTCGCAGCTCTGGCTGTTTGGGCAGAGAGGAGACAGAAAGGGAGAAAAGGATGCCTCTGAAGGGTCTAGCAACCCTTCTATCCAACAGAGGAGAAAAAGAAGCCTAAGACTGCCTCCAAACTATCAAGAGCTGCTTTTTCAACTGTTCTGAGAGCCCATTCTTACCTGGCAGTGGTTAAGGCCAATCAATTGCACAGACACGCTTAAAATTATCATGGTCATGCAAGGGCAGCTTTATTTTTTTTTTATTTTTTCCCTAAAAAGCACAAACCAGTCTCCAAGAAAGAAGCCTGCAGTTCAATAGTGGGAAGGACAAGCATCCGAACAGATGGCTTCTTAAGAATCGAAACACTTTTTGACTTCGTTTGACAGCCTTGAAATGGAGGATACAACTCGAGGCAGACACCAGCTCCCAAATTTGGGTCAGAATTATTATACGCTTCATTGACTATGCCTGGTGATGGAAATTCAGGTTTTGAAGGTGAGCCTCCCCACTCTGTAGGAGAGAGATTACAGCAAGACGATTTTCCTTCCTGGCTGCTACAACATCAAATACAAAAGCTGCCAACAAATTAAGCTCCTTTAATAGCGTTACTGTCTTCACACAGAAGGTGTAAAAGACTGTCAGGATGCCAAGCTAAGCTGCAGCCAGAACTACACTACGCTCTTCTTTGCAAAGTGGATGGGAATGCTTGTAAAGAATATGCCTCTAAGCCTGAGATTTCCACGTCTGCAAAGGCAGAAAAGGTTGCACAAGGAACAGCTCAGGGATCCTGTACCGCACCAGAATGGAAAACGCAAGCTTTCAGGTCCTGGCAGGCTCACGAGCTTGACACTGAAGAGGCCCAGCCAGCCATTTCTGGAGCTTGCCGATAATTTCTTCTCTTCCAACAAATTTTGTGAGCTAACATCTCCTAAACTGCTGACGCTACTGGACTGGCAGTTTTTCCTCGAGGCTTGGGATGTCCCAGAAGCTGCCGCGGGAGCAGACACCCTGCCACCTCTCGAAGAGATGCTGCAATGCAGGAGAAGAGAAGCAAGCTGGTAACCAGAACAGCGTGTCCTGCAGCCTGGTTTGAATGGCGTGCAGACACCTTGGGAGCTGGCAGCCCTCACTTTCCTCACATGGGGCCTCGCTGAGAACGAGCAACTGGAATGCAAGGTTTCATTTTTAGAAAAATGCAGAGCAAGTCAGTTTACTTCCCCTTTCCAACTCAACTTGTTCCTTGCCACCTGCAAGCTTCTTCACTCCAGGCATCAGAGGAGACACAGAAAGCCCAACCCTCTCCCACTCTGCTGCTTCCCTTCACCTTTCATCTGCCAGAAATGGGAGATCTCACTGTAAGGATCTAAACCTACAGTTCATTTTATGGACTCAGAAGTGTTGCATTGGGTTTAAGGAAACACTGAGGATATAGACCTTGAAACTTCTGAAGATATCAAATTGAAAATGAAATGCACAACACTGAAGCCTTGTTGAGGCAAAGGAAAAAAAAACAAGACACGTGATTCTGTGTGACAGATATCCTCCGTATTTCGGTCGCCACATGCCAGACGTAGAGCCACCCTGCCCAGCTAAGTCCCTTCAGTCCATCCCTGCTCTAAAAACCTTTCACCACTAACATATTCTGTGCAGAGCTGCTGCACAAGATGCGTCTTACCACATCTTGTCACAGGGCTTCAGCCACGCTTCCCTGCAAAAGCTGCCCTGTGCAACTTCAGCTACTCCATCAAAGGAATCTGCACTTCGGCTGTGCTGCTCGGGCACACCCCGCTTATCAAGGCTAGCTTTTACTGATAGAGCTCCAGATTGTCCAGTAATTAAGTCCCAGTTTTCGCTGCTTTGAGTGTCCGCATGGATCCGCTCAGCCATCCTCCCACGCACATCCCTCCAGCCTTGCAGAGAGCTTGCACCAGGCCTGCAGAGCAGCAACGCTCCACGGGGCTAGTTATCAGGCTTGGCATTTCCCTGTGAACTGCTCAGCATCACGGTGACTCGGAAGCACGGCCAAGCACAAGCCAGGCGTAGCTCATTTACTGCTAAGGCTGCAAGCCCGACGAGCTTTTCTTTCACTGTCAGCTGCTGCTCACACAGTTGCTTCTTCCTGCTTTGGTGCGAGCCTCCTTAACTTTCCTGGATGCTGCCTGTGGCAGCCCTGCAGTGAAGGACTGGGGAGCTGATCTGGGTTAAAAGTTGTGTTTATTGTACTAGCACAACCAAGGAGATGACCCAAGGGTGACAAGAAGCAGAGGCTGCCCAAAACCCGCAGCAGTGCCGAAAAGCGCTGTCAAGCCACACGATAATTAAGCCTGACCCAGAACTTGGCTCTTTTCACCTGGCAGAGACAAAAGCCTTATTGTGGGCTAAACACATCTGTAAAGTCATCTGGAACCAGCAAGCTCAGCGCTGTTCGGAGAGCTTCCAGCAAAAGACAGGGATTTGGCAAAGCAGGGAGGTGAGAATGTGAGCATAACAAAGCGCGCTGGCCAGCCCGGCCCTTCCCCAGCCCACCCATTCTCAGAGCCTACATTTCACCTCACCTACCATCAACGTTGTAGACTTTCAGGCCAGCCATGTGCTTGGCTGCACGGGATTTGGAGGCTGTTAGCAACGCCGGGTTGTAGACGGGGAAATCTCGGTAATAATTTTCCAGAACCACCAGTGCAGCTCGCTGGATACTAGGGGGAAAAAAAGAAAAAGATAAACAAAATGCAATGAGGTCTTTTTTTCCTTTTGAAAAAAAAGTTTTATGGAAGAAGAAATAGCCACGTTATTTGGAACGGGGCTGTCACACCCACAGCATTGTGCAACACACGGAGTATTAAGCACCGAGGCTCTCTCTAGGACCTAAAATTTCAGCTGAGATGCAAGCAATGCCTCTCCCCTCCCCTAAATGTGAGGGTTATAGCCCTGAACAGGGACAGAGCTGGAAGGGAAGCATGGGGCTGCCTGCAGCATGGCAAAACACAGAGCAGGAACGCTGTAGCTGGCCGGTGTGGATGGAGGGGCCAGCTCCATGTGGATGCTTTTCCCTTTGAGTCATTTCCAGCCGCACCTTGCAGCTCCTCAGATCTCCTCCATCCAAGCTCTGACAAGAGCCCAATCTTTCTTTCCAGCTTTCGCAGCAAGATAAGATCGCTGCCTGAGGAGCACAGCTGCCCCAGAATGAATTATCCCAGTACTGCCTGTTCAATCCCAAGGCAAGGCGCAGCATCAAGAGCGAATTCCCCCCCGTGGAAGGGAAACCTCTACATAAAAGGATGGCAGAAGGAAGCAAAACAGAAGGCACATCCCCAGCTGCAAAGGCCTAACCCAGAGGTATCTTCCTTTGCAAAATCGCTGAGATCACCTACTCACGGACCTGGAGGTTGCCCAAGCGCCCGCATTTAATTTCATTGTGAACCCACAGAAATTATAAAGGGAACTTGCCAGCGTATTTGTTGCCAGTTAATTGTGAAGCTCACACTTCCCAACAAAGGCTGTCATGAGGAAAGCAACCCGGTGTTCTCACACATGTTACAACACAGGAGGAAAAAAAACACAGGAGGAGGACGGTAACGTGGGAAAACAGGCAGGAACAAATTAAGATCCTAAATTCAATTCTCAGCCCTACCACTGATTCAACGCACGCTCCCGGAGGAGCAATTTAATTTCCCCGTGCCTTGTGCTAATATTAACTTCTGCATCACACCCCAGCAATTTCAACACACACACGCCCTCCGCCATCCCCACGCCGTGGGTGCCCCTCTCCTCTCCCACCGATCAGTGAACGGAGCCCAGATGCCAACCCAGCCACGAGATTCTGGGAAAGAGGAACAGCTCCGGACTTGTTCGCTGTGTACCTTCCTCATCCACTGTTACGGCACAGCGTCATTTATTTCGTTAGCTGTGTACCTTTACGGTGATGAATCGAGCTTTTAAAGCAAATCCCATCTCCAGGACAGTTTTTTTTGGGGGTGTGTGTGTCTGTTGCACCTTAAAGGAGCTTTATTTTCCAGGTGCCAGCCCTAAATATCATCCCGTGTCAGGCTCGTTAAAAGCTACTCCATTTAAGCACTCGGCTACTGATACGTAATAAAAAGCCACTGTTTAATCGAGGAAATAATCTTCCTTTAACAAAGGACTACAGACTGACAACCTCCACCCACAGCCAGCTTATTTCCCTCTGCCAAGCTTCTGCTTTCTGCTGTGCAGCTCAAAAACAAAAAGTTTCGTAAAAGAAGTCACGTGCCAGCGGCGCATATCCCCCTTCTGACCGCATCCAAACATGACTGAGTTTTTCCATGCCCGCTTCCCAGGAAGAAAGGTAAAACCTAATGGAGATTTGCCTCGAAATAAAACATTGGGAGAACTACGACCAACTAAGAACAAGAAGATAAATGTGATGATGGTTAAGGTCAGTGGCACACACGTGTGTACCCAAAACCCAAACGCAACCAAGCTTCTACGTTGCAAAAAGCAGCTGCTGTTGCCCCGAAAATTAAAGCCCTGTTATTTTATCCTCGTGCAAACCCGGTGCGGGCTCGGTCCAGCTCCCTTTTAAAGAAGAATTAAAGAGAAGATGCCGCGGACGGGAAAATTAGAAGGGTGACCATAATTAGCGAGGGCCAGGCTGAATCAGAGCCTTCTGGGCTGCGTTGCTCAACCTTTTCGCCCACGTGAAGGGGAAGCCTCACCCCACAGAGCTCCACGTGGGCTCCACGTGGGAGCTGCGAAGCTGCGAGGACCCCAGGAGGGACAGAGATGCCCCCAGCATAGAGAAGGGGGTCCCAGGGTGCTTGGGTGATGTGACAGTGGGCATCCTGTTGTTTTTTTTTCTCTGCAGAAGCCACTTGGGAGGAGCTCAGCACCACGTCCGTTCGCTGCAGCAGATTCGGACTTCCCGTGCACACACGGATTGAAAAGAATGGGGAGGGGCGGGAGGAAAAAGGAACAGAAAGTTTCAATAGCACACCCTCTGTGCAGGGCAAGGACCCTCCTGATGTCCTGCAAAGGCAGCCCGGTGTGTTTTGGGCAAAGCTACAAAATACCAGAGCGCACAGAAGCGTATCAGGACATGAAAAACATTTTCATGCAACAGTTCAGGCTCTGAAAACCTGTGACCTGACAAAGGACCCCTGGCACGGGCCGGCAGCCAAACGATTTTCCTCGTAGGCAGTTATCAGCCAAGTCCTACGTTTTGTTGGTTTGCATTTTGTGCAGTTTGAGGGTGGGTTTTTTTGTTATTATTATTATTACTTTCCTCCTGAAGAAGGCCGTGTCGCAGCACGCTGCCAGCATGGAAAGCAAACAGGCAGATCCAGCAGCACCTCGGCGGCATTTGGCAGCAGAGCCCTTCGCAAACAGCGCTGAATTCACTTCGGCTGGGTCTCCAAGGAAGCGGAGGAGGGGACTGGGACACAAAGGCAGCAACAACTGCCGGTGTTTTCCCCTGTCAAAAGATAAGTCAGGAACAATTCTGCTCGAATACTTGTTGCTACGTGGGATAACCTCGATACTCGGTGGCTCAGGAGGCATTTTGGCTTTGTATTTGTCTTCTGTGACGGACGACACCTGCTTCCTTACCTTGCTCTGAAAGCAAATCCCACAGCATCAGGGTTTAGGGGGAGCCAAGCATCCCAAACCCACAGGGAGAGGCAGAGAGGGCTGAGGGCAGAGCAAGCCCGGGGTTATTTCACCAACTGGTTCCCAAGCCAGACTCGCCTCCTCCAAACAACATTTTTTTTAAGTGCTGCAAAACAGACACAGCATCAAAACAAGCCAGAAGTCTCCGGGCATGCTGAATACTTGCCGCAGCCAGTTGGGAAGCTTTGGCACCTCGAAGAGAAGCTGAGCAAGAATTGCACAAGGCGATCCTCCAGGCAGAGCCAGCTTTGCCTTGCAGGCTGGCTCCAGCCTACAGCTGCACCGAGCTCCTCTACAGCAGGAGATGCTCGGGTCTCATGCCCAGAAAGCTCAGAAAACTTCTGCACCATCCCAAAAACACTGAACAGTCCCATCTCCCTCCTACCACAAGACCCTCTCTGGCAAGGTGTGAGGGGGCTGGCATTTTTTGCTGCCTTGCCCAGCCTTGAAACAAGGCTCCCTGAAGGACCAAGGCCATGCAGAAGGGCTCTGCAGCCGTGCTTGAGCTCAATTTTGCCCTCTCCAGGAACCGGGGCGAGATCTCAGCAGAGACAAGGAACCGTGGCTGAACAAGCCAGGCAGAAAAATGCCTTTTGATCACTGTAACTACAACGGCATGGCGGCTCGGTACAGTCAGGAGAACGAGACCACAGCCCCTAGGAAGAGGAAAACCACATTTTCTTGTCAGGCAACCACAACTGAAGCCTCCGCTCGGCTCGGGCAGGCAGGCGCAGTTCCTGCCCTCCCCAAAGCAGACACCGGGCTCCTGGGACGCGGAGGGTTTGTTTTAGATACCCAGCGTGCGGGAGGAGAACCTGCAAGATCGAGCCTCTGCAGGGCAGGGCACGAAACCCCAGGGCAGAAGGTCTCCCCTTTTCGGCCCTGAATGTCCCACATTCAACACAAACACGCTCCACGTTTCCTGAGGCAACACAGCAGCTTGGTGCTGGTGCAGATTTGCTGAATGAGATGGGGGGAAAGCAGGTTGTTTGCATTGTGGTTTTATTTTTCCTTTAGTAGCAGAGTAGCCAAAACCCTCCAAAGGCGAAAGAAAAGGACCTGCAAGCCTACTACAAACATTACCCTTATGTTCAAATCTTTTTATTAGGAAGAGAAGCTGTGAGCATGGAAATGGGAGTTTTTGGAGCAGAGGATTTTACAGCAGGGAATGACAAAAAATGAGAAAAAAAAAAAGAGTCCACTCCTTTAAATGATATGACCCAAACAAGCTACTGATTTAATACCTCCCTGAAGAGCCCTATAAAAGTATTCCCAGACCAGCCCTAAGGAGATGCTGCTACAGAAGTACAGAGTGCGAAGTTTTAGCAAGCAGCTATAAAAACCCAGTAAACCCACAGGCATGCTCCCATTGCAATTCTCCTTCTCGGAGACTTTCCAGCCTGATACTTTGCAGTTAACTGGTCTTTAGAGAATCAGCGCACGGGACGACCATTTTTCCCCAGTCACCTTTACTGGTAAGCTTCAAATTTAGATGAATATGTTCCCTGCAGCTGCACTGCCCTAGCTTTCAGTGATGGCTGAACCTCCTCTCAGAGCTCAGGCTGGGTTTTAAATGGTTCCTTAGACACTGGCAGCCACGTGAAGTGCCCAAACAGCTCTCAAGCCACACACATCCCTTCCCCTTTGATCAGACACAGCCCATTCAAACCGATGAAGGTGCTGCCTTCGCATCTCAGGCCCAACCCGATGCCCCCTGAAGCTGGCAGAGGCTGAATTGGATCCCGAGAAGCAGCAGCAGCAGGATCAAACCTCTCGCTGAGAATTGCTTTTTTTTTTTCCAAGCACGCTGCCAGCAGAGCAGGCAGGCTGCCTCCACGCGTGGGTTTGCAGAGCGGCGGGGTGTCCTCAAGGGAGCTGGTGAGAATACCGACTTGCTTATTTAGGGGAAAACGAAAAACAACTGCCGGCTGCTCACACCGAAGCAAAACCAAAGCCGTGAAAGGCTTCCTTGGTTGGGAAGGAGGACAGGGAGAAAGGAGCACAGAGAGGAAAACTTAAACAAAAAGATGACTGGAGAAGGCTGCTGCTGAGC